GTGGCATTGCTCTGTCCGGAGATGATTGTTGGCGGCGCGGCATGACTCCCTTCGGGCCGGCTCTCAGGATGGTCACTCGTGTCAGCCGCAGGAGCTCCTGGTTGTGGTTGATGTTCATCTTCAGGAGGCCCCTCGTTCACGTCGTTGGGAGTTTCGTCAACGTGAGCTTCAGGCACGCGTGGAGGACCGCTCACACTGACGGCGTTGGATGCGTTAGACGCTGTAGGTGAACTGGGAGCGGCTGGAGCGTCCGACAGAATGTCGTGGACGAATAGCAGAGCGTGAAGACCGGCGGTCGGTGCAGATCGCGTCGGCCTTGCCACGGCGGATAGTCCTTGGCAAGGGGTCCGCCGTGACTTATGACCGCCATAAACTTGGGCGTTGGGGAACCATCTGTTGCAGAACTCGCAGACGACGCCTGGTAAAGAGCCCATGTGTTACGGATCCGTTGTAGAGTCGAGAAATCGCCTATGAAGCTACTAGCCGTGATGAAGCTTGTGAACGCATTAAGTACTCCGTTCAAGAAGCCTGTGACAGCTACACGATCATCGCCAATGCGCGCACTGTGGTGGGCGGCTTGTATCACTGCACGACTGGCACTTGACATTGGCGCTAATGTTTATGACTGGCTAACGATGTCGAGCCGCGTGGTCGTTACCAGTCACGATACAGACCGCCCACCTCACGGGCCGTCTTCACTACAAGGCGTGTCGCCCCCGTTTAGAGTGACCACGACGTGAGCAGAGGAGAATGCGGAGGATCTTAAGTCTCACGGTCGTGTGTGTGCGTCGCGAGCATGGTGAGAAGGACGTGCCTATTGAATCAAGAACTTGTGTTTAGGAACCGTGCGTGAGAGTCGAGGGGGATGAGGAAGAGCGGGAAGAGATCCGTTTGGATCTGTGATTGTGTCGCGAATCGATATAGGGGGGAAATCAGAATCACGTAGGTGAGCTCAAGAGGCTTCAAACAAACATGGAAATGCAAATGTACAATTACAACTTAACAAGACACTCAAGTCATTCATAACTAGTAAACATTCATATCCTTAGGACTGATGTTGAACAACCCTTACTTGATAACGATACGGGAAGTACCCAATAACTCCATGCCCTAACGTATGATTGTTGCGTGGAGCGAATACCTATAGCGTGTCTTCTCTCGAGGTGTAGTGTACCTCTACGCACCGTGCTGAATGAATATGCAAGAATGGATGACAATGTCGTACAATAACACAACGGTTTCAATGTCCATGCAATGTTGGATGACAATGCAACACCATACCACAACGGATTCACCATGTCGCGCAACCCGCAGGCCTGAAAGCTGCATCGTCGCACAGTCTAACCATGGCTGTCGATAACGCATCTACGCTTGTGCGTTGGGCCTGTGCTTCATACCACTCCTTCTAAGCACATTGTTTAATGTCTGTGCAAGAATGGATGCCAATGCAACACCATACCACAACGGATTCACCATGTCGCGCAACCCGCAGGCCTGAACGCTGCATCGTCGCACAGTCTAACCATGGCTGTCGATAACGCATCTATGCTTGTGCGTTGGGCCTGTGCTTCATACCACTCCTTCTAAGCACCTTGTTTAATGTCTGTGCAAGAATGGATGCCAATGCAACACCATACCACAACGGATTCACCATGTCGCGCAACCCGCAGGCCTGAACGCTGCATCGTCGCACAGTCTAACCATGGCTGTCGATAACGCATCTACGCTTGTGCGTTGGGCCTGTGCTTCATACCACTCCTTCTAAGCACCTTGTTTAATGTCTGTGCAAGAATGGATGCCAATGCAACACCATACCACAACGGATTCACCATGTCGCGCAACCCGCAGGCCTGAACGCTGCATCGTCGCACAGTCTAACCATGGCTGTCGATAACGCATCTACGCTTGTGCGTTGGGCCTGTGCTTCATACCACTCCTTCTAAGCACCTTGTTTAATGTCTGTGCAAGAATGGATGCCAATGCAACACCATACCACAACGGATTCACCATGTCGCGCAACCCGCAGGCCTGAACGCTGCATCGTCGCACAGTCTAACCATGGCTGTCGATAACGCATCTACGATTGTGCGTTGGGCCTGTGCTTCATACCACTCCTTCTAAGCACCTTGTTTAATGTCTGTGCAAGAATGGATGACAATGCAACACCATACCACAACGGATTCACCATGTCGCGCAACCCGCAGGCCTGAACGCTGCATCGTCGCACAGTCTAACCATGGCTGTCGATAACGCATCTACGCTTGTGCGTTGGGCCTGTGCTTCATACCACTCCTTCTAAGCACCTTGTTTAATGTCTGTGCAAGAATGGATGCCAATGCAACACCATACCACAACGGATTCACCATGTCGCGCAACCCGCAGGCCTGAACGCTGCATCGTCGCACAGTCTAACCATGGCTGTCGATAACGCATCTACGCTTGTGCGTTGGGCCTGTGCTTCATACCACTCCTTCTAAGCACCTTGTTTAATGTCTGTGCAAGAATGGATGACAATCCAACACCATACCACAACGGATTCACGTTTGTTACTATTGATAATCGTGTTAGAATGTCGTCCGCTAGCCCTAAACCATTGTGGCAAAGCCTAAAAGTGCACAGTACATCTGTCACAAGTAATAATGTTGGACGGTCGTTGTGTGTGTGACGTAAGAATCACCGATTAACTTACCCCAACCCCGTGGTAAACCATTTGCAACTTAGAGTTTGATGAAATGCATTGTTGTATGTTTGAATAAAATTTAGTGATTTATGCGTTGGCAACCGTGATTGGCCGACGCATCTCAAACGATCCCCCCCGCAACACAGTCATCAGCCAAGAGGTACTTCAGCCATTGAGCGGCTGAGATCGAGCGGTAGGTGGGTTTATGCTAGGGTGGCTACACGTACACCGTCCAATATAGCCTGATAGGGTTACATTACTTGTTAAGATAGTAAGCACAAGTAGGAGCCATAGCTAGGTAAGTCCTAGCTAGGCAAGAGAGAATAAGCAAAGGAGGGTGTTCACTAGAAAGCAGCAGGATACATATAGGAAACCCCAAGGGGTTGTACTCGCTATAGAGTACCCCACTGCAGGCTAGAGAACAATAACATTCTGACACACCCCCATAGTCAAAGTGGGGTATAATCAGCAGAGCAAGTAGTCCTAGAGCAGGTTCACATGCACAAGTAAAGCTAGAGGCAGTCGCAGAGGGCAAGTGAGGAGGAGGAGGAACTGTGGAAGGAGAGAAGATGGGAGGCAACGACTGAAGCTGCAGAGGCACGGGCACAGGAGCGGCTGACTCAGTGGCTACCGAAGCAAGGGCGACGGACTACTGGAGTAACTGGCTCCGCGGCTATAGACGAGCGGCAGGAGCAACGGACCCACTGGCGACTGGTGCAACAGGCTCACTGGCTACCGAAGCAAGGGCGACGGACTACAGGCGCTGCAGGCGACACGACCGCTACCTCCACACAACCTCCTCCAGCTGCCCCACGCCCCTCTCACACACCCCCTGCTCAAGCCCTAGCTCCACTCCCACGGTACCCCCCTTAAACCCCAAACCCTAGGCTCCCACACACCCACCCCCCTCAGCGGCAGCTGCAGCAGTGGGAGACCAGGGAGGAGGAGGAGCAAGGGGAGTAACACACAACCGCCACCCCCACACTCCTCACCCCCAAATCCTAATTCAGGAGAACGGGCAGCAGCAGGGGTGGGGCACCGTCAGAAGCACGGGGGACAGCGAGCAGCTCAGGGACAGAGAGGAACGGGCCGCCCACGGGCCTGGCACAGCCCGACGAACCGCGCGCAGGCGGCCCGAGCCGCGCGCGGGCCTGGCGCAGCCCGTACGGGCCGCGCGCGAGCCTGGCGCAGCCCGTACGGGCCGCGCTCGGGGCTAGCGCAGCCCGCGCTGGCCAGGACGGGCGATGGGGGACGACGGGCTGGTCCCCGTCGCCCGTCGAAGCGCCCCCCGGGGGCGACGCGCGGACCGACGGGGCAGAAGGCCGCCGCGCGCCTCGGGGCGCACGGCGGGCAGAGAACCGCCGCACGCCCCGGGGCGCACGGCGGGCAGAAAACCGCCGCGCGCCTCGGGGCGCACGGCGGGCAGAAAACCGCCGCACGCTCCGAGCGCGCGGCGGGAAGAGAAATCCGTCGCACGCCACGGGGCGTGCAAGACACAGAGTAGCAGCGGAAGTAGCAGTAGGGCCCACAGGCCAGGAGCGTGAGTGCTCTGATACCATGTGAGAGTAGTAGGTAGAGTTAGGTGGGCTTGGGAGCCATAGCTTAGGAGCCTTAGTAGTTAAGTTCGAGGGTGAGGAGAGTGTCGAGAAAATTGTAAAGGAGAATGAGGGTTTCACTATAGGTTCAAGGGTACAAATATGAAAGAAGTGAAGCAAGTAAACCACCTAACAAGCAAGATAACTACACTAAGTCTACATTGCAGGCAGTTATAAAGTGATGTATACAATAATATTCTGACATTACTCTCTCTAGTCTCGCAACCCACACCAACCACCCTCGTGTCCCACCCACCTGCTTCCGTCACTCCCTGGACCAACACTTTGACGCTGCTCGTTGCCTTGACACACGCCTCTCCAGATCGGCCTTAGCGCGAAGCATAGTGGCTACTATGACAGATTTAGTTGAAGCGGCAGTTTTCGGAAACACATAACAGTGATAGACCGTCGATAATCCCATCGTGGGATTCAGTTGCAGAACCCTTTCGAAACCGGCTCAACCCTTCCGCGCGATTTGCAACTTTGCTCCTCCTACAATTACCATGACACGTGCAACACGTAACCAAGCAATGGAGGAGGAACAGGCCGGCCGCCGTGCGACAAGGAGGACGTCTAAACAGATCGATAGGGAGTGTGGTGGCGGCGCTAAAAAAACTAATGCGTCCGTCGCTCGTGGCATCGGGCAGAAAAAAGCGGCGGCAAAAAAGGTCGCGCGCGGTCAACAGGAGGCCGGCAAGAAAGCGGAAGACAAGGGGCCTAAACCAATGCCACGCAAGCGTGTTTCTACAGTGAACAAAGATGCGGATGTTGCCTCTGCTGGAACCGAGCCCGGTCCGAGTAAAGACGGCACCACTGGCGGCAACGAAGATCCGGGGCGAGGGAGCGCGAGTCTTGCACTCCCGTCGGCGGAGATGGAGGGATCGGCGACGGAGGGAAATCACGGAGGCGATCCCCGCGCCGAGCATGCCGCAACCAAGGAGTCCGAGGCGGCGGCAACGCAACACCATCTGACGCTGCTCCAGCCGACCGTGGTCGAAGTTTCTGCAGCCGTGCTGGATAAGGACAAGGTGGGGGAGCACGAGTCGGTGGGGCTGGTCGGTGGCTCTCCACCTTCTGGTGGACGGGGGAGGCGTAGGCAGAGGAAGAGCGATGGGGAGGACGATTATGACACCGCCGTGCCCGGGGACCTCATTACGCGGGCGAAGAGGCGGCAGACGACAGGTAGTGCTGACGACGCCGGAGGCGCGGCAGTTGGGACACCGCGAGGCGCCAAGGAAGCTAGTGGCAAGGCGGGCGGTCAAGCATTGCGCCAGAAGGGCCGACCCGCAGCAAGAAAAGCATCCGGCGGAAGGAGAGGCAAGAAAGCAGCGACGGGAACAAAGCCGAAACGGGGCGATGAAGACCCCGGTGATGCGGAGGAGGAGGAGGATGAGGAGGAGGATGCGGAGGGAGAGGAGGATGAAGAGGAAGCGGAGGAGGATGACGCGGATGTTGGGGAGGATGAAAAAGATGAGAATGATGGCGGGGAGGACTAAGAGGAGGAGGAGGAGGAGGAGGAGGAGGAGGAGGAGGAGGAGGAGGAGGAGGAGGAGGATGAGGAGGAGGAGGAGGAGGAGGAGGAGGAGGAGGAGGAGGAGGAGGAGGAGGCAGAGGAGGAGGAGGAGGAGGAGGAGGAGGAGGAGGAGGAGGAGGAGGAGGAGGAGGAGGAGGAGGAGGAGGAGGAGGAGCAGGGTGACGACGAGGAGGAGGATGTGGAGGAGGAGGAGGAGGAGGAGGAGGAGGAGGAGGAGGAGGAGGCAACGGAGGAGGAGGAGGAGGAGGAGGAGGAGGAGGAGGAGGAGGAGGAGGAGGAGGAGGAGGAGGAGGAGGAGGAGGAGGAGGATGTGGCGCCAGTGAAGGGACGGGGCGGGCGTGGTAGACGGGTGAGTGGTACAGGGAAGGAGGGGGGCCGGACTCGCCCTTCCCGAAAACGCGGGGCAGTTGACGCAGCGCGCGGCGAAGCATCGGGCAAACCGAAGGCGCGTAAGGTGAAGATCGAAAGTGAAGGGGTTGGTAAAAAGCAAGGGAGCCAGGGAGCAAAAGGGGATGGAGGAGGAAAGGGTGGCCGCGCCAAAGGGGTTCCAGTGGGTACCAGCAAGAAAGAACCTGCCGGTAAACGTCGCAGCGTCCGCCAAAGCACCCCGCGGAAAGGTGGCAACGAGAAGGCGCAGGCTGCCCCAAAACCGAAGGGACAGCAGAAAGGTGAGCATTGTGTCCAATAAAACTGGCGTGACGTGTTGAACCATCTGCTAAACCGTGCCAAAAAACACCTTTTTTTCACATTGTTTCTCCCATGCAGGGAAGGAGAAGGTCGACGAATCTGCCAAGCAAGGTAAACCCTCTTGTCTCAAACCAGTACAACCCTGAACCCGATCTAGATTCAAACCTTTCTGAATATGCATGCATGTCTGGCCCCGCCTTGAAACCGATCGACTCTAAATTTTTTTTCCGGCTCTCTCTACATCTCAGCCCCTCGCGTTACAGGCATTGGGCCGCCCGTAAGCGTGCAACGAATGCATCTAACGAAGGCTGCCGGAAGAGCGAGTGTTACACCGCTCTCCTCCGGAGCACCAAGGTACTACACGCCATGGGCCGGCCCGAGCAAAGTCGCTGCGACGGCACCAGGCGCGCCAAGAGGAGAGGAATCTGAATCCCCTCCACCCGCCCCCGTCACGCAGTCCCCACTCGCCTCACCCTCGTACCAATTTCGGCAACTCCACGCTTCTCCTGTCCGGGGCAGGGCGGTCTCCCCTCTCGCCGATCCTTCGCGCGGGCATCAGGCAGGCAGTTATGCCAATCCCTTCCCTGAGCTCCCCTTTTCCCGCCAGCGTGATAGTGTGAGGGCACACGGGACTGCTGCAGAAGACGTTGATCCCCTTGGCCAGAGGGGGGATTCTTCAAACCCTTTTCCTCCGCTCATGGGTGCCCTAGGTGAAAGTGCGGAGCACGAGCAGTTTGTTACACGGGAGGAGTTCCAGGCGCTGCGGTCTGAGATGTACGCCATGTTTGCACAGCTCGGCCTGCGTCGTGGAGTACCTGCCAGCTATGCCGGCGGGTCGGCAGCCCTGCCTATGGCTGGTACCCCGCCGCCGATGAGCGCCGTGGACAAGGCACGAGTGCTAGTGTTGCAGGAGACAAACCCATTCCCGGTATGTGGCGGGCCACATGGGGAGGGTTGGGGTTGACGTGGCAACAAGGGCGGGGTTGGGGCTGACGTGGCGGTTTCGAAGGGAACACGGGAGCGGCGCGTGACGAGGCGACGCGTATCAGGTGGGTGGGGGGTGACGTGGCATGGGGTGGGAGGGTGTGACGTGGCACGTGGGGCTGGTTGTTGGTGGACGTGGCGGATGCAGGAGGGTGTGACGTGGCACGTGGGGCTGGTTGGTGGACGTGGCGGACAAGGAGGGTGTGACGTGGCACGTGGGGCTGGTTGGTGGACGTGGCGGATGCAGGAGGGTGTGACGTGGCGGAAGGTGAGGGTGGGGGATGACGTGACAGATGCAGGTGGGTGTGACGTGGCGGAAGGTGAGGGTTGGGGATGACGTGGCACCCTAAAAGGGTACACGTGAGCGGCGCATGACGAAGCGAGGCGTCTCAGGTGGGTGGGGGGTGACGTGGCTCTTGGTGGGGGGTGTGACGTGGCAAGTAGGGCGGGTTGTTGGCGGATGCAAAATGGTGTGACGTGGCAGAATGTGAGGGTTGGGGCTGACGTGGCGGTTTGGAATGGTACACGGGAGCGGCGCGTGACGAGGCGACGCGTGTCAGGTGGGTGGGGGGTGACGTGGCATGGGGTGGGAGGGTGTGACGTGGCACGTGGGCCTGGTTGTTGGTGGACGTGGCGGATGCAGGAGGGTGTGACGTGGCACGTGGGGCTGGTTGGTGGACGTGGCGGACAAGGAGGGTGTGACGTGGCGGAAGGTGAGGGTTGGGGATGACGTGGCGGATGCAGGTGGGTGTGACGTGGCGGAAGGTGAGGGTTGGGGATGACGTGGCGGTTAGAAATGGTACACGTGACCACTGCGCATGACGAAGCGAGGCGTGTCAGGTGGGTGGGGGGTGACGTGGCTTGTGGTAGGGGGGTGTGACGTGGCAAGTGGGCCGGGTTGTTGGTGGACGTGTCGGATGGCGCAGGGTGTGACGTGGCAAGTTCAAACAGTGTTGCTAGTCACCATCCCATGGTCACGCGGCCACCCTCATAACTGCTGGTTTCTCTCTTCCATGTCGTGTTGTATACCTTACACCCCTGCGCAGAACAAAGCCTACTTAGTGTGCTCTCAGCTCATGTTTCTGAACCCGCCGGAGAAAATACAGTACTACCCTGCACCGGAGGAAGTGTTCGAAGCGTTCTCTGTCCACTTGTCTGCAGAAGGGTTCGAGGCAATGAAGCTGCTGTGGTTGCACAATGACAAGTCAACCATGGGAGTCTTCAACCACCAGCTGTCCTCAACAAGGTCAACTATCAACTCCACCCTCAGGCCAGCAGCATACACCGGCATGGGCCTTGCCGATTACAGCCATCTCGTGGATAGCCTGCCCACTGAGCTACACCCAACGACCTGGTTCGACGACGATCAACTCCTAGCCGAGTACAGAGATGGTATGTGCAGTGCAACTCGAAAACACAATATGCCCTACCATATGCCCCTTGGCAGCTACATATCACCGTGCGATGTGGCTCACCCTGACTCTCATCCCCCCATTTGATTTCTCTACAAAACCCTTTCCAACCCATACCCTCCCTGCCAATAAGCAGAACAGTGGGCCCTCAACTGGCACTTTGACAAGGCCACCGGGACACCCTTCAGCAACCCCTTGTTCGCTTATGCGTTCAAGCTCTCCTTCAAGAGGGGCGGGGCGGTGTTCACCAAGTTCAAGAGCCGCATGGTGGCATGGGGCCTGTTTTCGGTAAGGATGTAGATATGTGTTTGTACCCCCATGCCTCATCCCCTTAACCCCTTGCCTGTACTTCAGCTAAAACCCTGGTCGATTAGGCCTTTGCAGTTACGTAGATAGTGACGACTGCATCACCGCTTTCAGTTGCCTCATTTACCCGTAACCTACCCTCCTCATAAACCATCCACCCAACCCTACACCACATTGCAGATCGAATGGCCCCTTCTGCAGGATAAGCGTCGCAAGCGAATCAGTAGCCAGCCGGAGCAGAACAGGCCAGACTACCAGGAGTGGTGCGAAAAGGTCAAACAGATGATCCATTTTGCTGTCGTGGAGCGGAGGATCCCCCACGATCCGGCTATGGGTGCGTTCGTCTTTCCGAACAAGTTCCTCATCGACGACGGCGACCTTGGAGATGTCGTCCTTGCCCACCGGGCGCTTTCAAGGCCCGCCAGTGCGTAGGCTATTTGACCTGGTGCTAAGACTGCTTGTTGCTAGAATGCTGAATAATGGTTCTTGTAAACCGCAATAATAAATGCAATTTTGAAATCCTCAATATCCAAAATGAACAAAAACAGAATTTAGTTTTGAATAATTTGGTCACGAATTTGCAACAAAACGGATTGCGCCCGAATGTCATCCGGAAAAGCTCGCGTGCCAAATTGGAACTTGAACCGAGCCAAACCTTGTCGCGAGATGTGTCTCGGAGCTCCTATCAAATGACTCCAACCGTCGGTCCAAATTGGCTCCGGATTTTTTTACGCGAAGACAATCAAAATCAAAATTCGTCCAAACTTGGCATAGGGTTTTTGTGATGCACTCACGGAGCTGCTGGGGCGACGGGGTCTCGCTGGGACGCTACTGCTGCTGCCTCTGGCCACCGCCGAATCCCCCACGCTGCACCGCTCCACCGCGCCCACCACCAGCTCCACTGCCGCCACCACTGCTACCACCACCCCCGCCACCCCCACCACCGCTGCCGCCACCACCCCCGGCTCCTCCACTGACCCCCCCACCACCAGCACCACTCCCACCACCGCCACCACCCCCGCCCCCTCGACCCCCTCCACCACCGCCGCCCCCGCCGCCACCTCCGCCACCCTTGCCCCCCTTGCCCCTGCCGCCCTTGCGCCTCCCACTGGGAGCAGGCGCAGCCCCGACCCCCTCAGCACCGAGGTAGTCGACAGCAGCAGCAGATGCAATGGAGGGGAGAAGGGGGGAGGGGGAACATTCCTCAAAAAAGGGAGTGCGAGGGTCACCACGAGAGGCACCTACAGCTACAATGCTCTTCTCAGCTGCTAGGAGTTCCTTCTCGAGCAGGTCGACAGTGAGGTCGGTGGGGGAGAGGGCGAGAAAGTGGTCCCTGACAGTGCGAAGTGAGTCAGGGAAGCGGGTGACTAGGTGGTAGAGTGTGAGGTACATCGGGGGAGGGTTCTTAGCTAGGAAATCGGGGGGAAGCGTGGCACGGTAGCGGAGATCACTAGTACGGAGGTGTGTGATGAGGTCAGCTACAGTGGCAAAGGCAGACAGATCCAGGAAGAGATAGGGCAGCGAGAGACGGCCTATCGCAGCAGTAGCAGGGGAGGAGTAGCATGCAACTACAGCATCGTACAGCTCCTTAGCGGTCTTATGCTGGCCAAAATGCTCGCGCTCATCTAACGGCAGGTGGCTGCGAACGGCTAGGCGAGCATGAGCGTCACGGGTCTGTCACTGTGAGCGAGCAGTACTGTCAGCAGTTTCAGCAGGTGCGGGAGCGGCGCCGGACGTGTGGTCAAACAGGGAAACATCGTCCTTGGTAGTGATCTGGAGAAACAGGTGCAGGTCATCGAGCCAAACATCAAACTTAATCGGACGGCCCTCAGCGTCAAAAGTGAGAATGGTAGGACTGGCCATAGTGGCAGTAGCAGCATTAGGAACAGTAGCAGTAGTAGCAGTAGTAGCAGTAGCAGTAGGTGCTGCAGGTGGTGCACAATAGGGCGGCGCGGCTCGGTCAGGGCGGCGCGGCTCGGTCAGGGCGGCGCGACTCGGTCAGGACGGCGCGGCGCGGCTCGAGCAGGGAGGGTGGGCCGGTGCGCGGTCTGCGGTTGTGCGGGGCGGCGGCCTACGTGTGGGATGCAGCGTTCGCGGTGGCGGCGGCCTACGAGGGGGCGGCGGCCTACGAACGGGCGGCGGCCTACGGGCGCGAGGCGGCGGCGCGCGACGGTCAACGGGCAGCTCGCGGGCTGCGCTAGGGGCCGCGCGAGGCCAGGGCGGGCTGCGCGTGGGCGGCGTCGACTGCGCGGGCGGCTAGGGGGTCGCGCGCACGAAGAAAAAGGGCCGCGCGCGGGCGGCTAGCGGGCTACGCGCTCGAAAAACGGGCCGCGCGCGGGCGGCTAGCAGGAGAAGGAGGGCGCGCGAGGGCGCACTAGGAACGAGGCGCACGAGGGCGCGAGTAAGGGAGGGCACACGAGGGCGCTTCTAACGGAACGGTGGGCCCTTAGGAACTAGCGGTCCTAGGTTCCTAACCTAGGCTCGTAATACCATGTCAGAATGAGAGAAGTGATTGCACTAGGAAAGGGTTGGGTACAGGTAGGAAACCCTAAACTTACTGTACCCCATAGTAACTACCCCACTACAGCCTAAACAAACTGTAGCAGATATAACATTTGACAACTAGAGTTTGTGCCAACCCCCGTAGTCTAGCTCACGACTATTGTAGAGTGACTCTCCACAGATGCAACCCCCATCATGAGGTCCTTGAGGTGTCACATGCAAAATCCAATCTAGTTGGATTTTGACTAGGTGTTGCAACATTTGCAACCCATGCTAGAAACTTTTAGCCACCCCAATCCAAAGGTCAACGTTGACTTCCTTACCACCCAACCAAAGATCCTTTTATAGTCATGTCCCAATATAGATAACATCTCAAAATAAGATAGAATTTCCAAAACTTAGAAATCT